GGGTTTTGGTGCGAGGCGACCTCCAGTGAGTACATAAAAATATCTCTAATTCCTTAAACATCTAGTCAAACGGTCCCCGAACCCCGAGCAGGTTGCCCATTCGTTTCACACGGCCTCTTCTGCATGCGATGCATCACGTGGCTCAGATTAGTGCTGAGGGAGAGATTTATTTTTTTTTCTGGGTAGATAGATATACAAGCCAAATTATTATGACAACTTGATAAATGTAGCTTTTGAAAATGCTTTCTGTTGTAATAATACAACAAACAACAAGGAGGCATGCTGCCAGGCCTCATCCATCAGTAGGTGAGCTGCCTGGGAACAGACACAGCCCTGGTGTCACACTAGTTCCTCACAATCTGCCAAAGGCCTAAGGAGGAGGAGGAGGAGGAGAAGGAGGAGGAGGAGGAGGAGGAGGAGGAGGAGGAGGAGGAGGAGGAGGAGGAGGAGGGAGCCTTAAAGCTGCATTTTCACAGCAATTTTAAACAGAATATGAGGTAGTGGCGGTCCATGTTGAAAAACAGTGCATGAGTTGAGGCCTTGACTTAAAAGTGTTTTTTTGGCACAGGTAACATATTTTTGTAACCTCAGTTTTATAATTCAACACCTCTGCTCTATACTAATCTCTTATTTTAAAAACATTCTCAGTGCTGTCCCAGCTTGGAGGCTTTGATTTATGTCTACAGCAGCGGTTCTCAACCTGTGGGTCGCGTCCCCTTTGGCGGTTGAACGACCCTTTCACAGGGGTCGCCTAAGACCATCCTGCATAGCAGATATTTACATTACGATTCACAACAGTAGCAACATTACAGTTATGAAGTAGCAACGAAAATAATTTTATGGTTGGGTCACAACATGAGGAACTGTATTTAAAGGGCCAGAAGGTTGAGAACCACTGGTCTACAGAGAGAGTGAATGTGGAGCCCAAATTCAATATACATGGAAATGATGTAGGTTTAGGGAAAATGTTCTAAGATGTCATCTCATATGGTTGTTCGATCTTCTTGTGACCATAGGTCACTGAAGACAGCTTCCCTGTACTTTTACAAATTATTTTGCATTGGGTAAGAGGCCGCAGAGCTGTTAAATTAAAATTTAGACCCATGTGAGGATATTACAGATTGAACTTTGGAGTTTGTCCTGGGAGATTCAGAGTGGTTTATTTGCTATTATGAGTGTTTGGTATGTTTTAAATTACAACTAGAAAACTCGCTGCCAATTTTTCCCCCAAACAAGTATGATTTTACATATCTCTGCCTGTTCTTCAAAGACAGACATGCTGCAACAAAGCCTCGTGTTTTCACAAATATGGACGGGGTTATGAAAAAGAGGAGCGTGCTCATGGAATCAAAAAGGAAAGAAGAAAGAACAATGACATTGTAAGCCATCACGTTCATGCCCAGCATCTCAGGAAGTCAGAACCCGCTCGGACAATGGACTGAGACAACGCACAGTACACAGTGCGAAAGTGAAAATGAGCCCTGGGCAGGGTTTCCTGGTGAACAAGGTTTTGCATAATGCTCTCTGATTTACAGCCACTTACACTTACTGAGCATCCCTTCTGAACCAGTATTAAGCAAGGCATTGTGAACGATGCAAAAATGATGATTTCCCTGACCCTTATCAAAGTTAAAATTTAGTTGAAAAAAATCCACATGAGCCCCAAAAGAACACACAACAGTATAATGCATAGTCAACAACTAATGGATGTGGTCTGGATGCTAAATATAGAAGGAATTGGGCAAAGGGGCAGGTACATGGCAGGACGTAACTTATGAAGATGTATCTTAGATGGGGTGTCCTGTGTGGGCCATATGAGTCCCAAGCATGTGATAGAAGAAAGGGGAATTCAAGAAATAACCTTCCCTCCCTATTCCTGCTTCCCAAAGTACTACAGAAGGTTCTTAGCTCTAATAGTCACTTCGATCAACTCACTCAACACTGACTGGGTTCCTAGATATAAAAACAAAACAAGATAAAACCTTGGTCCACAGTGCTGATAGACTAATGGGGGCCGGTGTCATATAAATAATTATAACACAAGCCAGACTATGTAAATGTAATTATAATGCCTTGTAAACACAGCGAAATGACATTAAGGGCCACTGCTGGAAGTAAGTTTAAATGACACCTAGGATTTTGACAGGGGGATGTGGGCAGCAAGAGACTCTGTAGACGAAGAGGCAGAGTCTGCAGAGGGCTGGTGCTTTAACAAACTAAGACACAGTCCTGCAGCTGCCCCGGACTCTTCCTTTTCAGAAAACATTTTATTTCTTTTGTGGAAGGTTTATTTCACTCAGCAAAATGTGTGTGAACACACACACACAAAAATGAGTTTTAAAATTCAGTTTAGGCCAGAATGTATAGATATGTCTTCATCACCCTTCTCATGCCATCTTGATGCTGACAGCTATAGATTTTTAATTTAATTTTTTAAAAATTTCAATTATAGTCCTGACCAGTTTGGCTCAGTGGATAGAGCGTTGGTCTGCGGACTGAAGGGTCCCAGGTTTGATTCCAGTCAAGGACATGTACCTTGGTTGCAGGCACATCTCTGGTGGGGGGTGTGCAGGAGGCAGCTGATCAATGTATCTCTCTCATTGATGTTTCTAAACTCTCTATCCCTCTCCCTTCTTCTCTGTAAAAAATTAATGAAATATATTTTTAAAAAATTTTAATTACAGAGCACTACCCAATTAGCTTCACAAATGGCACACCCAAAGATGGTCTCGGCAGCCAGAGTCCCGCTGGGGGTGGGGAGTGTTATCTTGCTCTGTAGGGTCAGCCCCTATACAGCAGCTCATCTGCTGAGGTCATGGCCGGGACTCACAATCAGTAGCCTGAGGGTCAACCCCACCCACTGAGGTGCCAACAGCAATCAAGGCTCAACTATAATAGGAGGGTCACAGTTCATACAACAGACTCCCATAGCATCCAGGTGACCAGGGAGACCGCGCCACTAGGCCCCACAAGACACCTACATAAGGCCACCCTGCCAAGACTGTGTGGTTATTAGAAAACATATTTTTGCTTCTTTATTTGCTTTTCTCTCCTACAGTGTGGTCTTTGAGCCTCAGTGCCCAGCAACATGCCTGTTAGCCCTCCACAATCATTTATTGAGAAAAGAAGAAAAGGGAGGGAGAAAGGGCGGGAGAGAGGGAAAGAAGGAAGGGTCAAAGGAAGAAGGGAAGAATAGAACAGAAGGAAACGCTATTAGAATAATTTCAGGCCACGAAGACTCTTTGGCCTCCTGGTTGCTCTAATTTTTGAACCCTGAAACTGGATTAAAATCTTTCTATAATAAACCAAAGATGAAAAATTTAAAATGAAACCAAATAGCTAGCAAAGGAAAGAAACCTTGGCTCTTTGCTGTGAACATGTTTATTTTCACATATTTACTCAAAATTGTATTTGTCACTGCAATGTGTTTGGTCCCTCTGAAAGCTGACGAGGAGTGGGGGCCCGGGGATTGCTGCCTTTGGCTTGAGATCCACGAGCAGGAAGGACACGCACTTTCTAATACATACACACATGCCATAAGGTTTGCAAATGATCTTACATTTGCTCAGTAGCCAAAAGAGGCAAAGAATGAGAATAAAAACAAATGTGTTTTAGCAGCATCAAGTCCAACTTTTCCTTCTTCCCCATGAGGAAAATGTATATTATGAAACTCTAGGACTCTCACAACCTCACCCCATACAACCCTGGAGCTGGGAATTTATGAATTATTTTGGCTAGAGACAAAAGTTCCTCAATCCGCCCATATCGTCCAGATGTCCGTTGCAAAATGGGAGCCTGGAGAATCTCATTTTTCTTTAAAACCATTCACATGAGAGCAACCTTTGCTCCTCTTCCTATCTAGCAGCAGAATGGGTTTTGAATGCATGTGTGAAGGAGAAAGAACCTCAGAATCACACATTCAATTGTAGAGTTGAAGGGCACCTTCGATATTTGTCCAATATAAATATTTATCGAACACCTACTCTGTTCTAGGTGCTGCCCGCTTGACCAGTGAGTCCTACACCAAAGCCCAGAGGTAGGGATTGACTCGGCAGCTGTTTGAGGTTGGCAAAGGTAAGCTATGGGCTTTGGCTGAGCGTCACTCATAACTATGATGTTATTTGTCGTTCTATACTTATTCTTCCTGCCTCCAGGTAAAGTATCCACCCTCTAATGTATGCAAGTCTGGTATCCCTCATTTTTTGCTCTTAGTATCTGGTGTCCCTTTAATTTTTAATTTCAATCTCCGCACCTCCCCTTCTCCCTCCACACACCATAATCTACCTTAGTGGTTGAAACCAAGCTACACAGTTAGGATTAGAGAAAATATCCTTTTCTCTTTATACAAGCTGGGCTCAAACAGAGAAAATAACAGAATTCAAGTAGTATTAACCAGCCTTTTTCTTTCTTTCTTTCTTTCTTTCTTTCTTTCTTTCTTTCTTTCTTTCTTTCTTTCTTTCTTCTTCTTTCTTTCTTTCTTTCTTTCTTTCTTTCTTTCTTTCTTTCTTTCTTCTTCTTTCTCTCTCTCTCTCTCTCTCTCTCTCTCTCTCTCTCTTTCTTTCTTTCTTTCTTTCTCTTTTTAGGGGGACAGGGGTAATGACAGATGCTGAATTGAAGGTGGAAAGTTAAACTCCACTCTGTGGATAAGAAATGTAATACATTTGAGGAGAAGTGAATATCAGAGAATTTGCATAAAACACCCCAGATGCTGGGCATTCACTTAATCATATACTAACAATATGCAGGCTTCAATGGTCATATACGGGGGTGGGCAAAAGTAGGTTTACAAGTGTAATACAGATGATACAATAATGGATAAATTAATAATGATACAAGAATAAACTGAGTTTCACATACTCACACCTTTAAACCTACTTTTTTGCCAACCCCTGAATATAGGCTTTAATAATGGGATGGAATGTTATCCTTACATAACATTGGCCACTTGGGGCAGGGCTGATCTTGACTAATACTAAACAACTGGATAACTACTCAGAAAAGTCATTGCCTTGTCGTGCAGGGGCAATCGCCACTTCTACGTCCTGACATGCCGGTGTCTGTGATGCAGACTGGATCATTTTATAGAAATGTAAGTGAGAAATTAAACGTAAATGTTTTTCTTTCTTTTTTGTTTTTAATTAATTAATTTATTTGTTGTCTAAAGTTTTACATACATCTCCTTTTTCCCTGCTTGACCCCCTCCCCCCAAAGCTAAACATTTTTTTTTTTTTACTAGAAAACTTCTTTTTGTCTTCATTATCCCAACCTCTAAATTTCTGGAGAACTGAAGACAAATCTCATCATTTCACCATTATCTGCTTCAATAGAGCAGTAGTTCTAATACTGGATATACATTTCAACCATTTGGGGAGCTTTTTAAAAATTATGGATGTCAGGGCTCCACACCCAGAGATTCTAACTGAACTGGTTTTCAGTGGCACCCAGATATTTGTATTGATTTTTGGAAAAGCTTCTCAGGTGGTCCTATAGTGGAGCTAGGGTTAAGAACCACTGCTATAGGTGTGTTACCCATTTAAAGATCTGGGGAAAACTCCCTTTAGTTCTTAAAATTTATTGTCATTATCATTAGCAGAATCTCAGAAAAATCTATCAAAACTTAATAATGTAGTAAATTCACAACAGCAGCAGCTTGCCCCTTGGACTTTGTATACTTACAAACTAGTAACTACTACTATTACATAGTAGATATGCAATACATACTTATTAAATGAATAAACAAAACATTGAGGCAATTCAGTCTGGGAAAGTGTGTGTTTCTAAGAATTTATCCATTTTTTCTAGGTGATCTAATTTGTGGGGGTAAAATTGTTATAATAGTCCTTTGTGATCCTTCTAACTCCTGAGTTATCCATTGCAATGTCTCCTTTTACATTTCTGATTTTATTTATTTGCATCTTTTTTCTTTTAGTCTAGCCAAAGGTTTGTTAATTTTGTTTATCTTAAAAAAAACCAAACCTCAAATTCTTAATTTAGTTGATTTAAAGTATTTTTCTAATCTATATTTGATTTCTGTTCTAATCTTTATTATTTTCTCCCTTCTGTTAACTGTGAGATTTGTTTGTTTTTCTTTTTCTAGTTCAGCCTAATAACAGTAATAATAAGAAAATTGAAGTAGTTATCAAAACCCACCAACAAGAAAAGGCCAGGACCTAATGACTCCATTGATACTTCTACTAAATATTTAAAAATACCAATATTTCTTAAACACTTTTAAAAATACAAGAACAGAAAACACTTCCAAACTAATTTTATGAGGCCAGTATCACTCTGCCAGTCTGACAAGACACCACAAGAAAAGAGAACTACAGGCCAATATCCTTAAAGAACATGGTTGCTAAAACCTTTAATAAAATCCCAGCAAACTGAATTCAACAGCACATTAAAAAAAGTATGCACCATGACCAAACACAATTTATTTCTGTGAGGCAAGGATAATAAAACATATGCAAATATCAATGACACATTAACAGAATGAAAGATAAAAAACACATGATCATCTCCTAGATGCAGAAAAAGCAGTTGACACAATTTAATGTCCATTTATGAGGGAAAAAACAACAAAAACTTCTCAACAAAATAAGTATAAAAGGGACTTACCTCAACACAATAGAGGCCAGATGTGAGAAGTCCATAGCTAACATTATAATCAATGGGGAAAAACTGAAAGCTTTTCCTCTTATATCCAATATAAGCAAAGAGGCCCACTACCACTACTTCTGTTTAGGATAGTATCAGAAGTTCTAGTCAGAGCTATTAGATAAGACAAAGAACTAACTAGAAGATATAAAAATGGAAAGGAAAGAAACAAAATCATCTCTGCAGATGATATGATCATCTATAGAAAACCATAATGACTCAACAACAACAAAAATACCTGTTAGAACTAATAAGTGAATTCAATAAAGTTGCAGGATAAAAATTAACATATAAAAATTGGTGGCATTTCTATATACTAACAATAAACTATCTGAAAAGGAAATTAACAAAGCAGTCCCATTTACAACTACGTAAGAAAATACTTAGAAATAAGCTTAACCAGTGAGATGAAAGACTTCTACCCTGAAAACTATAAAACACTGATGAAGGAAATTAAAGAAGACACAGATAAATAGAAATAGATACTGTATTCATGGGTTGTAGAAGTTAATATTGTTAAAGCGTTAATACTCCCTACGTGATCTATGGATTCAATGCACTTCCTTTCAAAATCCCAATGGCATTGTTTACAGGAATAGAAAAAACAATCATAAAATTCATATAGAACTCCAAAAGATCCAAAATAGCCAAACCGATCCTGAGAAAGAGTAATAAAACTGGAGGCATCACACTTCCTGATTTCAAACTCAGTTACAAAGTTATAGTATCAAAACAGTATGTTATTGTATAAAAACAGACATACAGATCAGTGAAGCAGAATAGAGAGTCCTGAAATATGTTTAGGTTAACTAATATAAATTCATTAACTAATGTTTGACAAGGGTGTATGAAAGGGTAACCTTTTCAATAAATGATGTCAGGAAAACTAAATATCCACATGCATAAGAATGAAATTGGGCCCTTATCTCACATTAAATACACACACAAAAAATGGACAAGAGATTAAATGCAAGACCTCAAACTGTGAAACTACTAGAAGAAAACAGGGAAAAAGCTTCTTGACAATGGTCTTGGCAATGATTATTTTGGTTATGACACTCACTAAAAGCATAGGCAAGAAAAGCAAAAATAGACAAGCAGAACTAGATCAAACCAAAATATTCTGCACAGCAAAGGAAAACATTCAACAGCATAAAAAGGCAGCATACGTAATGGAAGAAAATATTTGCAAACCATACATCTGATAAGGATTTAGTATTCAAAGTATAAAGGAAAATCCTACAACTCAATAGTAAAAAATCAAATAATCCAATACAAATAGGTTAAGGACCTGAATAGATATTTCCCAAATAATACATACATATGGCCAATATGCACATGCAAAGGTGCACAACATCACTGTTCATCAAGAAAATGCAAATCAAAACCACAATGAGCAACTAGCTCATACCTGTTAGAATGGCTATTACAAAAAAGACAAAAGGTAACAAGTGTTAAGAATGTAAAGAAAAAGGAACTCTTTGTATATTGTTGGTGGAGTTATAAATTGATTAAGGACATTATGAAAAACAGTACAGAGGTTCCCCCAAAACTAAAAATATAACTATGATATGACCCAGCAACCTCATTTCTGGAAATATATATCCAAAGGAAAGGAAATTTCCATCTCAGTGAGGTATCTACACCCACGTTCACTGCAGCATTATTCATAATAGCCAACACATGGAAACAACTTAAGTGTACTTTGACAACAGATGAATGGATAAAGAATATTTGGTGTGTGTGTGTGTGTGTGTGTGTGTGTGTGTGTGTGTGTGTGGTGTGTGTAAAGAGAGGGAGAGAGAGAAACACAATAGAATATTATGTAGTATTAACAAAAGAGAAAATCCTGTCACTTGTGATAACATGGAGGAACCTGAAGGGCATTATGTTAAATGAAATAAGCCAGGCACAAAAAAAGACAAATACTGCATAATCTCATTTATACATGGAATCTAAAAAATCGTGAAACTCAGAAGCAGAGAGTAGAATGGTGGTTTGCCAGGGAAATGAGAAGATATTGGTCAAAGGATACAAAGTTTCAGTTATGCAAGATGAAAGAGTTTTGAAGATCTAACGGATGGCATGGTGACAATAGTTAACAATGCTGTATTGTGTACTTGAAATTTGCTAAGAAAACAGATTTTAAACTAATTTTTTTCAATATACACTCACACACACGGTAACTATATAGAGGTGATAGATAAATTATTTAGCTTGATTGTGTTCATCTTTTCCCAATGTATACATATGTCAAAACATCAAATTGTATATCTTCAATATATGTTTTACATTTCAAAGATATCACAATACAGCAGTGAAAGAAAAAAAAAAGAAAATTGTAAAGGAATAAAAACTTCAGAAAGGCAATTGAACTAACCAAATAAGGATTTTTTAAATAAAGAGAAAGAGACAGCCAATAGTTACAGAATCCCAATATGGCCAGTAAAGGTTATGGACACCAAACACATTTCCAACATCTTTTATTCCAACAAACAGGTTTATGGGATAAACCAAGCCATAAATTGGTCCCAAACATTCAGTCATTGGCCTGAGTGGATTCTCCCCTTGAAAGAAGATCAGATCTTGGAACAAAACATTCCTCTAAGATATATGGCCTGGAATATTAGAAGTCTTGGTAATACATTTAGACTAGGCTTTGACCCAAAAAGTAAAAGGAAGGCAACCGCAAACTCTCAAACATAAATCCCAAAATGTGAAACCTCCTTTAACACAATGAAAAGACCACCTCGTATAAAAGACATGAAGAGTCAGACCCACTCTGAACTTGTATATCTTTCCTTTAAACAAAACTCGAACATTTCCAAGGAAAACAAGGCTGATAACATGCAATACTAGAAGAAGAAAAACAGATTAATCCTGCTTTGGGGCTCACTTGAACTGAAAGTTCTGAAACGTCTTGAAACAAGCCTTAATTAGATGTTATGACAGAGATGAGATAACTGTAAAAAAAAATATTTGTTTAAGAAGCTAAATTTGAACATTAATTTTTTTCTTTTGGTATTTATTATTATGTGATATAGAAATTAATTGCTAACTAAAGTTTATGTTAGTGTTAACTATCAATATTTTTATTGGAGAAAAAGTCTTTGCAATTAAAAAAAATCAGAAAAACTAAGCCCTCTCTCCCTTAGCTCAATTATTATGAAATGAGGTGATTAGAATGATCTTCCTCATTCCTGTGAGATAAGACTCCTTGAGGTTATTTATTTTAATTTTCTGTGTTTACACTGAGACCACTGTGGCAGCCATATCCCTTTGGAATAACTTCATAACCTGACTTTTTTAGGCACCTCCATAGTGTGATGATTTTATCTTTTGTTTATCTAACAATTTTATTCAACTCAAAAACTTTTTATTCAACTCAAAATGTATTAACTTCTAAAAAGTGCTTCATATTTTCTAGATAGGCTCCTTTTTGCTCTTTGGATAGATATGAAGTTGACATGCCCTTCATTTAATCCATTGGGATTTAACAAAATATTTATATTTTTAATATATTAATTAATTCATTAAGCCACAGTACTAACTAATCTGCATATTAAACGTGGCATTTTATAAAGTAAAAAAGGTCATAAAAGACCTTTAAATCTTCAGTCACCAATGCAACGGAGACATCACATTTAAGAGCATCAGCTATCTGACCCACTGCCATTTCAGATAAGGAGCAGTTTCCCCTGTTGACCTTGGTCTTGGCATAGACCTACTACAGTGGTATATATCACATTAAAACACACTGTTCCTAAGAGCCTTATGCATCTGGAACTCCTTACGGGCAAAACTAAATTAACTGGTTGAAGACAAACCTAGAGCTCTCAGAGACAGATCTTTGGTATCAAATTTTTAAAAATATGCTTAAGTAATTTAGGTTGAAGAAGGATTGTTTCCACTAAAGAACACACACTAGGTAGGTCAACAAGGAAAATGAATTTGCTAAAACTGTTATTTCAGAGGATTTAGTGGGAAAGGTGAAGAACTGGAAAGAGAAGAAGCAGCCTTTCTGGTTGTGGGTACATTGTTTAATTCACTTGAAATAAAAAAAAAAGAGCCATCATAAAGTACAAGTAGATATAGTCTGTTTTCTAATTAAAATAAAAGCAGACATTATAGTGCCACTTGGTTATACAAGATTAGCAACAGCTGCATTAGTAGAGTTGCTCAATAAAACATAATATAATCTTATAGAAATCAGTAAATGTTGTAGAAAAAAGTTGATACAGTGTCTTTCTTCAGTGCTCAAAACAGGGTTGCATGTAAAGAGAATTATCAAAGCTCCAAAACCAGATATTGGGAATATCAAGCACTGCTTACTTTCTGTGAGCCTCGGGAAAGGATGAGGGAGACGCCAAGGGAAGACTTCTGCTCAGTATCTCCCGGGTCAGAGCTTTCCCCCAGCATTAAAGCACTGCCCGTTGAGAGTGAAGGATTTAATATTTAATGCTTGTCTGTATTTTTACTCTGTTTTGCCTCCACTGATTTTTGTATCCCTGTATCCACAAAACAGTCACTCAGAGATGTTATCAGATCAGAAGGTTAACCAAGCCTCCTTACAAGCTCCCAATCCACAGGAAACATCACGAACTCTAGAAGTTGAGCAGTTAGCTGTTGAATAAAACTGGGTATTGTAGCTCTCTTTACAATTCTATCATGTTGGGAGTAGAATAATTTTTAGGTGGTAGAGTTAAAAATATTACAACTAAATGTGCCCTAAGAGAGCCTAGGACCGGGGCTAAGAAACTGGGTTGGCAGGTTAATTTCAGCAGGTGGGTGGGATTTATTTGGGCTGAAGTTGAATGCCTGCCATTAGACTACTACACACACATTCCAGTTACCTGCTGGGGTTCTAGAGACACATACATTCATAGTCTCTGATCTTTCCCAAGAGTATAAGGTGACTGAACTGATTTCAAATGCCTAAATCTGTGGTGCAGAGATGAGAGAAAAGCCATTAAGTTCATCAGCCATTATAAAACAAACATGAAAGCCATAGACCAAGCATGTCAAACTCGAGGCCCGTGGGCTGCATGCCTTGTTTATTTGGCCGGTGTTAGCCTTTGAGTTTGACATGCTTGCCATAGACCATCATGGTAGATTGCAAAAATGATCCCAGTCCTTCACCCTCCCTACCTGGCATGCTTTCCATGTAATAATTTTGCTTTCTCACTTTGACTCTAGGCTTGGCCAGATGACTTACTTGGCCAATGTGCATTTAAAAAAAATCAGGACAGGATTATTTATTTGTACCCCAGCACATGTTTTGACACCATTCTTCAATAGGGGTTGTGTTGTGAGGTCAGTTTACACTCAGCTGTACTATTCTAGTTCTCTTGGGACAAACGACACATATGTCAATTCAGTCTTTTAGACCGTTCTTTCAGTATTTTGTTATGTTCTTACTGGATTTGGCTATGCCATCTATTTGGAGGCTCCTCTCTTCATCAAGTCCCTAGAACACAGGCGGTACATTCCACTCCCATTTTAAACCTTCCTTTCTAGCCCCGTATGTGTTTACTGGGTGTAATTTGAAAGTCAATTAGAGCTATGTATTCTATAAATTTATAAATTTTAGAATTCATATTCCACTTTCGCAATTCATTATCGGTAGACGACAACTGAGACCTTCTATTGTATTATAACATCTTAACGATTGGAGTCTTAATTTACCATGTGGCAAAAATGGTATTTTTAAACTTCACATAACACCAATATTTGGTAAAATGCAGAATGACAGAGTTTTACTTGTGATATTAATTTATTCCTTAAGTGGCTTCTCAGCCTCTCATTCAATAAAATATTCTCACAGGGTCACATTCACTGAGCCAACATGAGCGTTCCCATGCATTTCTTACTAGCTTTGTGAGACACATGTTTTGGCTCATCCCTAAAGAACACTCAAGCATGCTAATTTGATAAAGCTGCATAATACGGACATTCCACATTTGTACACTTTGGCCTTACTGGTGGATGTTTATTATCAGTTATGCCTCAGAGTGCTATCGCCACGTAGCATCATGTAGTGCAGATTAAGAGAACAGGTGAGACATAAAAATGAAAGGTCTGTTCTTACCAGCTCGGGGATCTGGTTTGATATGAAGCTGGCCTCTAAAGAAGATAAACAAACTTGGCTACAACCCAATAGACCCACCTTCCGTGCAGACCCAAACATCAGAACTGCTAAATGCCAGAATAGCTCTGGTTTCCTTCAAGATATCCCCTTTGGCCATTTTTTCCAGGGCATATCATTTCCACTGGACCTGTGTCTAGAACCAAAATGGTCTGTAGTTATCATTGGATCCAGTGAAGAAACATCTGTTGAGCTCCTGACATCTGTCAGACCCTGTGCAGGTCTGAGGAATATAAAAGGAATAAGACTAGACCCCGATTTTCAAGAAATTTTCACTCTTGTTAGAATAAGTTGACGTTTTCCTGAACTAACATCTCACCACTTTCTGCTGTTTATGAAAAGTCTAGAATCAGAGGTGTATGTTTTTTCCTTATTCTTTTTCATGCTTTATAATATGTAATAATTTTGGCCAAACCTTTTGCTTCCACATATAACACTTTTTACTGTGGAATAAAATCTTTCTTTGAAAAATATTACCAGGGTACATACTTTATATTTTACAGTTTGGAGAAAAATCTACTCACAGACCACACAACTCAAGAAGTGGCTATGAATTATTACTGTAAGTAAAGACTTTCCATTGCAACACCTTAGGCCTTTTCTTTTCAGTTGAGAAGCCATTAACCACTCTCACTTCCACCTTCATCATCACTCTCACTATGCATGCCCCGATTCCCGCTGCTTATATATTCTTCCACATCTTCTTATAGTCAAAATCCATTAATATGGATGACCTTAGGAAAGGTCATTCCAACATCTAAAAAACTAAACCAATATACCATTCATTTGCAAAGGATTCCAATCCTTTGGCCATTCCAATATCTAAAAAACTAAACAAATATACCATTCATTTGCAAAGGATTTGGTAACATTGGAATCCAACATACACTTTATTCATGTTCATATTGTTGCTACTACTGTCACTATGATTAAAACAGCAAAAAGTATAACATAATAGAGAGCTAAAGGTACTAGATCCATTTCTATTAAGTTCTCCTTCTAGTTCTAACCTAAAAACATTAACAAAATTTGCTTGGTAAATGGGATAAATTGTGTATTGCTTATTGTATGAGTACATAGAATACTTAGCTGAAGATAGACAAATTTAATTATTTGTACATTCCTTTGTCTGGATTTGTTTGCAACAAAATGCTCTGCATAACCCCAACCACAAGAGTAGGTTTCGAACCTGTTACCTCTGGGCCCAGGGTGGGTATAGGACAGTGATGGCGAACCTATGACACACGTGTTAGAGGTGACACGCGAACTCATTTTTTGGTTGATTTTTCTTTGTTAAATGGCATTTAAATATATAAAATAAATATCAAAAATATAAGTCTTTGTTTTACTATGGTTGCAAAGATCAAAAAATTTCTGTATGTGACATGGCACCAGAGTTAAGTTAGGGTTTTTCAAAATGCTGACACGCCGAGATCAAAAGGTTCGCCATCACTGGTGTAGGACTTACTTGCTGCTGAGACAGCGTCTTAATGAGTAGGAGGCGCCCCCACCGCAGGTACGTGAACACTCGCTCCATGAGCCCCAGGCATCCCACAGGCTGTCCCTGTCCTCCTCGGAGCGTGTTGTCCTGGAGCTCTGTGGGAAACAAGAGGATGGTCAGTCTCATGTCCCCAACGAACCTTGAAACACATGACTTAAAACACTGGTGGCCTGTATGTCTGTACAGGGTGGGCTTTCTGGGGATGAAAGCATGCATCAGCTTCTTTCTAACGTAATAATGTATATATGTTAGGGGAGAAGAATATTTCAGCTTAGAGACCCTAGGTAATGACTAATAGAGTAAATGGAAAAGGGGGCCAAAAAGAAGAATCTGGGTTAGTGGGAGGTAAATTGCAGTAAAGTCACAATTTTGGCCAGAGTTCATGAGTCTACTTTTCATCTCTTTGTGAAGAGAGAAGCTGCTCTCAGGGAGGCTTCTGCTCTGAGAAACTAGATATGTGCATACCAGCACGGCTTTCCAGAACAACTGTTTATGCAACTGACAGTTGTTGTTGTTTTTTTAAAGAAGCAATGTTATTCTCAGTTTTCAGATTTGTTCATGAAAGTATCTGCATGGAGTGACTTTAGCAGAGACTGACTTTAGATAGAGCGACACGCTTGTTACTGACAAGGTTCCTCATGAAAACTGCATCTGCTGTCAGGGAAGTCGTTATGTACAGGCCTCATGTTGTGCTTCACGTTTCATACACAGAAGAATCAAGGATAAAATCTGCGCCATAGTTAATAGAACAGGCTCTGGAGTTAAAACTGTCTGGTTTGGATACGGATTCTGGTTTTTACTGTGTGTCCTTGAACCTCCTTACACTTCAACTTCTCTTTCTATAAAATGGTGATAATGTTATAACTACACTACCTCCCATGCATGCACACACACACACACACACACACACACACACCCTACAGGAGGATTAGCTAAATGAACTTAGCCTAGGACTAGTTCCAGAGTAGAGCAATCATAAATATTACCTGTGATTACCATGATTTTATAAATTGAGAATATGTCATATATGTATTTACATAGTTATGTTAGTCTTCTGGGTTATAATAACAAAATATTAGCCTGGGTAGCTTAAAAACAACAGAAAATAATTTTCTCACAGTTTTGGGAGATAAAAGCCCAAGATGTGGGTGCCAAGATGGTTAGTCCCTGGTGAGAGCTCTCTCTGTGGGTTGTAGATGGCTGACTTCTCACTGTGCTCTCACACGATCTCCACTTTGTGTTAGCATGGAGAGAGTGTGAGCAAACTCACCAGTGTCTCCTCTGATAAGGGCACTAATCCCATCATGAGGGCCCCACCCTCATGACCTCAGCTAACCCTAATTACCACCCATAGAACCCATCTCCAAATATTATTGTATTGAGACTTCAACATATGAGGGGGTGGGGCAGGACTCAATTCAATCCATAGCAACAGTTCTACAAATAGCTAATGTAAATTGTGGCCAAATCATTTTACTGAATAAACCAAATGTGATATCTAAACATTAAAGGTGGTATCTGCTCATGTCAATCAGAGACATACGTAGGATAAATATTAAAATTTCAAAACCATATTTGTAAACACCAAAACCATTAAGAAAATGTGCATGTCAAGCAATATGGCAATTTCATGTTCCGTTTTCTCCCTGAAGAGAGAGTATAGGCAGTGTGGAATACTGGGAAAGCATGGGACAGGGAGCGACAGAAGAGTAACTGCTCACAAAGCACTTGAAAACTTGACATGATGTAAGCCAACAACATCACCAGCACATAGTAGGCTCATAAATGGTAGCTCTTATTAGCATGTTTAAATTACTTTCTCATGCCCTACCTAGTCATACTTAGGGTTATGTTATCCAAGCAGGAGGGGCCTCTGGAGAAGCAAAGAATATCCTCTCCTCCCCAGAAAACTAAATCAGTTGCTGTGGGGCTCAGGTGCCAAGTTGATGACTTCTTGTAAGTTTTAAACCTGGTACAAATTCAGCCAGAAACATGGCCTTAGGGTTCTGTATCAAGGGTTGGTTAATTGGCATGTGCTTTATTTAGATTATTAAGTCATTTCCAGGGCAGTGGGGTAGATAGTGGTTGAGAGCAGGGAGTGTGGGCCTGCTCAGCCTGGGGTGGAATACTGCTCCAGAGAATCCTGAGATCTCTTTATGATTCAGTTATTTCTAAATCATAAGATGGGGATAATAAAGATACCCACATCACTGAAACATTATGAGGACTAAAATAGTTAATATGTACTTATATACATATATGCATAACCTATGGACACAGACAATAGCGCCTTAAAGGCCTGAGGTGGGGCAGGAGCCAGGTGGGGGAGGATAATGGGGCAAAAATGGGGGACATCTGCAATACTCTCAATAATAAAGGCACATTTAAAAAATATATGAAAAGCACATAAAGTGGAAGCAATCCAAATATCCATGGGTATATGAATGAATAAATAAATTTGGTATAAACATATACTGGAATGTTATTCAGCCTTAAAAAGGAAGGAGACTCTGCCACATGCTATAACGTGACTGAAGTTTTGTGGACATTATGCTAAGTGAAAATAAGCCCAACACAAAAGGACAAATATGATATGATTTCACTTATAAGAGGTACCTAGAGCAGTCAAATTCATAGAGACAGAAACTAGAAGGGTGTTTGCTAGGGGCTGGAGAAAGGGAGGAAAGGAGATGGATCCAGAGTTTCAGTTTGAGAAGATGAAAATAATTCTGGAGCTAGGAGGTCTTGATGTTTGCACAGTAATGTGAATGTACTTTATGCTACTGAACTATACACAAATGGTCAAACTGGTAAATTTCATGTTATGCGTATTATACCAAAATAAAAAAGCAAATACATGCGTATATTTTAAAAAGCTCATAGGGACTAAAGAATAAACACTGTATAAGCAATAGATGCTATTATTATTTAACATTACTTATTAACATCATTTATAAACATATTTGGGCTCGGAAAAACCTAGAAGGTATACTGAGAAGGTACACGTGTTTTTCTTCTTTTTTTCTGAGTTCAGTTGAGACACTGTACTCTTAAGGGATCATCTCTGAAAATCCTGACTTTCCCACAGCAGAGCCTCCCGGAGACCTGCCACGTTGTTTGGCCTGGAAATCTGGCCTGCCAGGAGTTCGAGGTGGCATAGAATGGGTAGCAGAAACACACTGGTTATTGCAAAGCCTGTCCTTTCCTAAAGGAAGTATTTATTGAGGTTTAGGATTAATAAAATCAGTCTCTAATCATGGCAATGTGGGGTACTCTGTTTCCAAGGCTTAATTAAGTAGTGAGGCAAAGAAAGCTTTTGGCCATTGAAGTATACCAAGCCTCTTCTCCATACACCCATTAAATCATTCCTCAGATATTAAAAAAGTTTGTGTTGCATCTCCTGACTCTCCTGTTGCTTGCTCTGTGTTATTGGAAGATGGCTCTGTTGAGAGAGTACTTGCCTGATCAGTAACTATTTGTGTGACAAACAGCTTATATAATCCAGTTTCCTTCATTTTATTAAAATTAAATATGACTGAGATTAAAAACCAACATCACAAATGCTAGGATTCATGAAATAATTAAAATGACCAAGATGAGTGATACTGTCCAATTACTACAACTGCAAAAAAAAAACCCACCAAAAACAAAAAAAACAACCCAAAAAACAACCAATACATAAAACAATCCACATGAGACATTCCCATGTGAACTCCATTCCCATGTGAGATAAGAACACCAGAATGCCAAATCTTGGGGAGGTTTCTCTTTGGCTGCTCTGTGGATAAGATATTTAGGAAATAATGTAGAATTTAGATTTTGGTTTTCTAGAGAAGCAAATTGTTTCATACTCTGTGTGGAAGTTGCTTGATCTTTTTCATGTGCCTTGTTTAAAGAGTACTAAGGTGAGATCTCACTGCCTAAACATCTTCCCTCATCACAAGACAAGTTTCAGCACAACTAGACATACCCAGTGCACACATTTCTCGGAAAGAGATTGCACGGTATCCCGGAAGCTGGTCATGGGCCTATTTCTTAAGCTGAAACGAATGATTCATTTC